AATTAGTACAAAGTATATATACACTATAAAAGTGCTTGTGTGCGTCACCAATGAAATTTGGATCGACACGAAACGTGTTAAAATAAAATCACATACTTGGACATTTGTCTCGAATAAAATTTTAATACTTTTTTATCTCGAATGTTAAGTATGACATACAGGATGATACGATAATTGTTACGTTAAATATCATCGAAAGATATTTTATTAACGACTAGATGAAGATGAGGAAAGTTTATACTTACAGAAGGTGTTTGAAGTGACGGCCATTGGTATCAACGCAATTTCTGTTAAATTTTCCTACTTTCATATTTCAAAAAACGTTCAAAGTAGTGATAGTTATGGTTTAATTTATGTGTTAATATACCGGGGTATATATCTGAATTTTACTGACTATCGACTTATAGGACAGATTAAATGTTAAAAACTAAGTAAAATGTCTTAGTAAACGTATTTCCACAAAAGCTTAATTTTTTAAATGCAACTTCAAATGATTAAATGCAACTTCAAATGATTACGATAAAAGGAAATGTGTCACAATAAGCCGAGTGAGAGTGCTGAACACTTTTTAACCTATTTTTGAAGATAATATAAATTTTGGGGAGTGGGGCTTGCAGTCAGGCTCGAAACAATGCACGTTGGGCGCTGCCGTCCTTACCATTTTCCATCCGCGTTATCAATTCAGTCCCCTTCGATCTGTGCGAACCTCACGATCTCGTACGTGTAACACGCAGGTCCATTGAAAGATGCGCCAAATCTTCTTTGCACACCACATGCCGCATTCTACAGCGATGCCAGCTGCACTGAATTGCGCGAAATGGCGGCCAGTGAGATCCGACGAGCCATAGTCGGTCGCATTCCCGATTGCCTGCGGAACTGCGTCAACAAGGAGTATTTCCTGTCTTCGACTGGGTAAGAGTAAGCGCCTTTTTGCATCCCCTTCCCAACCCCAGTCTAAATTGAAAAGCACAAAATTACGAAAGAAGAGACTTATTTGACTGACGTCTCGAGCAAAAAGTCTTGACGTCCCGACAGAATTACGATCCGTCCCGGCGGATCGTAATTTTGTCTCGTTTCGTGCGCGCGCGCACGAAACCCTTGTATACAGGGTGCCCCCCTTCGCAAAACGGGGACGGTACACTGTATACGCAATTGCGTCCGCGCAATTGCACCGTGTTGCTCTCTTTTTTGACACAACAATTGTAATACAATCCTCTCTCTCTTTTAACATTTCTCACTGCACCGCGAAATAGATATCGTAATTTTTGCAGAAACGGATTTTCAAGCAGATGTTAGCCTTCCGTTGTTATCTGCGATTGCGCGGAAATGGAATCACTCTCTCTCGAGCCCGAAATAGCCCGAGCACGCGAGAATGTGTGTGTAGCGAAAAATAAAAAAAAAACAGTCATAAAAAAACGCAAACGAACGCACGATCGAACGAACGGGTAAAACGGAAACCGCGGTAGACGAGACAATTTGCTCTACGGTGTGTGCGAAGCGAAACAGAGACGAATTCTCTTAAAGAGAAAATGTCTACCTGTGTGTTCCTCCTTCCTGTTCGCGCGTCGCAAGGACCACTAGACCGCTGCTCCTAGAGCCAAATCGATCGCAAAACACTCGAATTGGGAAGCTACACACTTCGCCAAACGAAATGTAAAAAAAAACCAAACAAGTAAACAAAAAAACCGAAAAAAACAGCGGCGCGCTGTGCACGCGCGCTGTGTGTAAAACCGAAAAAAAAAAAAGTAAAAACGCACAAAACTGCACAAATTTGTCGAGGGACTGCCATGATCTGTTGTGTTTTCGCTTTCTCCAGCAGCTACCCCGAGGGGATCAACGGCGGATACTATGCTGGCGCACTACCCGTGCAACAGGCGCACTCGACGACTCCTCACGATTCGGCGCCCCCACCACCCGGCGGGCATTCCGTCGTCGGCGGCGGAGGCGGCGGCGGCGGGGCCGGTGGCGGCGGGCCCAACTCGTCGGCGGGTGGCGCCGGCGGC